GAGTAATGAGGCGGATACGCAAAATACGCGGAAGAATATTTCGCGGTGACGGTTAATTTGAGATAGGCAAATGAAGGGCTCGGGAGAACAGTCAGGTGATTCGCTCATGAAATAACTCCGACGGACACAATGGGGCAGTTTTGTCGAGTAACAAATGGTTGCTGGTACCAGGTTGCTGGGTTCGTTTGTTGCGCGGAGAATAAAATCGTTCGCTCGTACTAATGTTCATCCAATATTCGTTCTCGTGTACACATCGTTCCTGATAACAAAGGGGCACCTAACGAGTATCGATCCGCATCGAACACTCGGTAGAAAAATACGCACAGTCTGCATGTCACATCCGAGCAAAGTACGCGCGTTATAACGAGCGACTCGAGCGGACTTTTGTTTTCAATTTAAACAACGTGGAGTAGGAAGTACTTCGGAAAAGGTATCCGACGTATTCTGCGGCGAGTGGCTCCTAGAGTCACATTGTCCCCGTAATGACTGTCAAGGAAGTTGCCTCACGGAATGAAATAAAAATTAAAATAAGTCTGCCCATTACTCCCTTCTTGAAGGGTGTGGCATATCGATCAATGCAGATGGACGCAAACTTCTTACCATTTTACAATTTAGTTCGAAGAACTTTCGAAAATCAACTTTGCAAATTGACGCCGACATATTTCACATAAAGTATGTACTAATGCTCCAACGTACCAATCGAAGAGAGTAAAGCGAAATTCTCATCTGTCAATGTGACGTCTGTTTAAATCATCACAAAGAATCATGTTTCGATGAAATTATGCAGTATCTCCAAATGATATGCAATATTGTTCCGAAATTCGCGCGGCAACGTTTTTTTAGGACATTTCACAACATTTCAAATTAGGGAGGGACTCGTATGTCGGTGAGCTGATCTAAAAGGCCTCTTCGATCCTCCTCGCGTGAGACCCCAGGATCATTTAACGTACAAGAGGGATAACTGAAACTCCCCATCAGGATCTGAAAGAAGCAACGTGTCCCTGCTTATTATAGTATTTTCCTAGGCGGCAGCCGCTGAGATATGAAAGCGGATTACGTCGACCTCTCTTGCCTTCCGGCGCGCCTGCAGAGAAGTCGCGATATTAAATCGCGATATTCTGCCCAGAGAAGTGGGTGCTCGTAGTGGCCCTGGCCTCCTGTCACCAAAGTCTGCCTACATTGGATCTTTAATATAGGATCGCGACCGATATCTCGGCAAATCCGACCCTATCGCGAGCCTGAATGCCCAGACCTGGTCCAGTCCCCCGACTCGAAATCCTCTCAATGCCAGCTGTGGTTCGTCCTTGTATCGTTAACTCTTCCGGCGTATATTCCCGCTTTCCACCTTCGACTTCCGCCCGAAGGAGGGAATCTCGAGTTTCATCCCCGTCCCATCTAAGGTACTTTAATGGCGTCGATCCGACCCGGAATTCTCCCCGATACGGTGAAATGGATTCACCCCGCTCGGAGGTCGACCACTTTACCACTAGACCTTCCAACTATTTCTACCTACTCGTGCGACTTATTTGCGCCATTGTGGTGAGCAATTTACTGAAGTGACGCGGAAGATGGAATAGTCCACCAACTTTGGCGTCACAGTGTTAAATTTGACCCTCGGTGAAGATGCTCCCTCTCGAAATGTTCCCTACGTCGGAAGTCTACAAAAGATGCGAACGGAATACGTTTACTTTACGGAATCTATCTTTGAAAATCTTTAAAACGATGCGAAGTCGTGTAAATGACTAATAACAATGAATCTTAAATAATTAATTAATAATACGCTGTTAAGAATATTTACAAAATTCCTACACTTTCAGGGTATAACGTTGTAGCTAAATTATAAATCTTGCGTCTAGAATAAAATAGAATAATTTATTATAAACTTCTAAACAAATTTATAATTTTATAACATCGTATCATAATTTTGTGGTATTGTGAAAGAAAATGTTATAAAATTAGATTGTTTTTAACACAGGGATTTATACCACAGAGAAATTCGTATTATAGCGTTCACTGACTTTTTCAAATCCTTTTTTCAATCCTTAGAAGTCTTATTCTCGATAAACCCTTCTTTTCTCGAGTATTGCTTGGAGGAGAAGAATAAAGTCCCTGTGTTACAAGAATGTAATGCAGGGATCTCCTCTTTCGATCGATTTCTTCTACGCGGGAGCTCGACTTAAATGTCCCTCTTTAATCTCAATCCGAAATTCCCAAACTCGGGATCTTTTTTGCAATATCCAGACGGAGAGTTCCAACTTGGAGATGGACTTTCGGAACCCGATTGAACATGGCGACCGGAATGGACGAGGCGTTTCCCTCCTAGGAGAAAGCTTTTAAGGGGGAAACGGAACGGTCAAGATGGGGTGGAAAGGAAGGGATCCGTCTAAGATTCGCTCCAGCGTCCCTCGATGTCGGGGCGAGGGGGACCTTTAATTCCTGGACTTTCTTGCGAGCTTAAATCAACGACCCCGAAGTGCATCGACGTCGCCGTCTAGATACGCGGCGAACCTCTTTAAGGGATCCTCGTCTCCGAGGGACCGGAGATCTCGCATCCGCCATCCATCCTAGTCCATCCACGATCTATCCCAAGGAGATCCGATCCTTGATCCGAACTTGTGGGGCGAAGCACCTCGTTAGCCCTCTAGAGGATTTCAGCACTCCAGACGAGTCCTGAGATCTAGGAAGTCCCATCCGCCCGTTTCATCCCTTGTATTTTCTTTCGGTCCTTTCTTATTTCAAGATTCTGTTTCGATACTCCGTCAGGCAATGTCGAGTCCTTTAAAGTGATCCGAAAGGTACACTTTCTTTTCTATTTTTAGGGCCTGAGTATATTCGATTATTGTCACGTTTTAAATCATTGAGAATAATTACTGACACTTTGAATTCTCACTTTGTAGCTTTCTATATCGCCTTCGTAATCGTGTGATATACTTTCGAACAAAGTGGTTCGTGTATTTTTATCAAACGTGTATCAACGAAATATGGCCATCACTAATCGTTAAAACCCCTCTTTTCGCATCATCTTGAATCCCTCAAATTATTTTCTATAATTCCCTCTTCGACGTGACATTAGAGAGATCCTTCTAAATATCCTGAATTTCCAAACCTCCGACCATATATTTGGGAACAATGGACAGATAGTAATAATTATACAGCAATTTGATACATTTTCGTCGGTGTTGTCGATGATGCAGGGAAGTTTGAATTTCCTAGTCCTGATTCGCCCGAGGATATTCGCCTTCGGCGAGCAAATGCGGTAATAAGTGTTCATGCTGCTTGAGTACATTGCGGCCGCCATATTGGGCGACGCGGGGCACAGTAAATTAGAGAGGCCGTGGCGAACGGCTTGTTTTGTCACTGCGTACCCCTTGTTGTTGGGGGAATAATAACGATCCGGATTAATTGTCGCGAGGAACAATAAAAAATGGTCCTATAAAGCGAGCCCTTTCGGAGGCGTGCTCCTAATTACAGCAAGGTAATTCACCGCCAGGAATAATCGACAATGGACGTTCGATCGATCCGGTGCTCTTTGCCCGTTCTCTTCGATTGTTACCTGGAAATAATTCCCTTCGAAGCTCGCGGCGAATTATGGACGACCGGGAACGGGAACGAGTTCTATCGAGCAAAGCCGGCCTTTCGCAAATCTTAGCGTATCTGAAAATCATAGTACAATGAAATATGAAGAAAAGAAAAACAAAGAAAACGACGTCATCAGCTTTCCCAAATCTGCGCTCTTAGGGACCTATTTATCGCAAAGTTCCCCGCAAGGTTTCTGGTTTCTTTCCTCCTTGAATATTTTACCCGGAAGTGATTAAAGACCGTTCTAAAACCAGCATCGTGGGCTTTTCCTTCATTTCTGAAACATTGCCGATGTTATTTCTAAAAGTATGTAGAGAGAAACGCTTGTTAGTCAGACCCTAAAATATGTTATTAAATGATTAATTCGGGGCACGGATGCAATTTCTAATAGTGCAATCGCAACGATTTCCATATCAGAATGTCTTTGAAGAAGGTTACTAGTCTCAATAATTTCTTTTTAAATGGAGACACAAACGGAAGAAGGTGGAAGGGGATGACTTCTAAATGAAAATGGGAATGCTTGCCGCTTGGATAAGCTTCGCTTCGAACAAAATGCTCCGACATGGATTTAACTGGTGGGGACTTCGCGTCACAAAAGCGCGGGGGCGAAGTGTCATGGCGGGAGCAATGCGACAGAGGGATAATAAGAAAGAATAATGAACGGGGGCGTATACCGTGTGGGGGAGCATTAGAGAAAGAGAGAGCGAGAGAGGGCAAAAGGATTGGTGTCCACGAGTTCGTGTGAACGTGTCTTACCTCACGTGCGACGTTCCTTCCGGTTTTATTAAAACCCGCTCCCCTGGGTGTTTATTTTCCCTCGCGGAGAAAAACATCGCATAAGAAGATCCGCCATTTTTAGTAGAAATTTGTCACTTCGAAGTAAAGTCGTGTGTTACGTGCGCGACACTCATGTATTTTAATTCATCGCGGCTTTTGAAACGTCAATCGTCAAAACGAAAATCGTGTTTCAATCTCGAAAGAAACGGAAGTTGATATGCGCTGGTTGATTTATATGCTTGAGGAAATATTACGAATGTCTTGACCGTCGTCGCGAGGGACCGGAAGTCTGACTCCGCTCCTTTCTGGAGAGCACCCCAGGGAAACGTCACTTTGATCATTTCTCAAACAATGGTTGCCTAGAGGACGGTTAACGATATCCAAACAAGTCTTTCTGAAGATGAGTGAACCTACTTGCTCTCTTTGGCACTCTAAAAATCATCCTTGGAATGTGACGAACGTTTTGATCTTAGAAATTCCTACTCTTGATTGGAAGATATATGTATCGAGTTGAATGGTATTTTGATAATTATTGTAAGGTTGGGATCCAGTGAAAATGTAAGAATGTGAGGAAAAACGCATCGCATGATGTGTACGTGTACTTAAATATACTTATGCAAATATATCTTTTGTTTCTATTGCAGATCGAAGACGCCATGCTGATGTTCGACAAGCAGACCAACAGGCACAGAGGTGAGTCGCCCATTGTACAGATTATTCCATTTCGCGGTTTAAATTAATATAGAGAAAAAATACGTGGGAAACGTTAAGTGAACCGTTTGGAACATCTAGATCATTTTTTCTCCGCTATTGGAACTCTTGTAAATTTCACTCTTTCAAATTTCTCATTTTAAACCTAGGCTGAATGCAATTTTTTTGTTCATCATCATCACATCGCGAGTAAAGTTAGATTAATCTATTTTTTTTTTTTTTCTTATTGAACCCATCAATGTATCATCTACAAATCAATAACAAATCTCCAAACTAATTATCCACGAACAAATTATTTAATAATTCCGAGCACACCGTCCGATCGCATGCCTCGTTCTGTCAGAATTTATGCGAAACGCCTCCCTGAAGAACAATCACTACATAACGTACCATCTTTACGCGTTTCTCCCGCTTAATTATAATTCCTTTCTTGATAAATGATCAACCAGTATTACGTTCCCTGGCAGTTTTACGTATAAGAACGGTACTTGAAATAAACCTCTTCCGACGCGGCCATATATCAATGTCGGCGACGACCGCACACATCGGCGTTGTCGCGGATAATGTCTTGGGCCTTGATAAGACGTTCCCTTGTCTCCCGGCGGCGAAAGAGCTTTCTTGCCGGGGGAAAGAATTTTCAGGGGTAGTCGCTTGGGAACTATTCCAGACGATTTGAAGTCTCGATGGATCGTAGCTCGCTATGATTTCCACGCGAATGGGCAGCTGCAACTGTAGCAAAGCGAGCTCCGAGGAGGGCCGTAGCTCGCAGCCCGATTATCCAAGCTTCGCTGGCCAAAGGATCTTCCCTCTGTTGCTCCTCGGCTCGAAGTGAGTCTGGGGGCGAGCCCGCAACCCCCGTCGGCTGGATTCGCGCTCGACGTGTCTATGCCCTGCACTTCTGCACGCAAGCCCCCATAAATTGTTAGATCGCGTACCCTGGGGGCAGGGCCGGAAGGGCGGCTCGCGATACCGCTGCAAATCGCGAAACTCCCATTTCCCAGATGTCTCCGCGGATACCCGCCCCGAAAATTGATATCTATCGTCCTGGCGGTTTAGTATTCTTCCTCCCCTGTATAGGGTGGCCCTGTATAGGGCGCCCACAGTTTACAGATTGCTATCCCTGTCGAAAATCGTGTCGAAATGTCGGGTGGAATTTTAATGTGTGTTCTACTCCACTGTACAGGATGTAACAGAATTCCTGATTACCGTTTACACGTCGCTCTACTTATCAAAAGTAAGGGTACAGAGTCGCGTACATTTTTTTTATTGTGAAACTTCTTATGGCACGGTAGTCTGTATAAGTTCTCATGGGATCAAAAGGATCCGTTTAAGGAAGTGGAAGGGTTATTCCCATAATTACAGTTCGTTACTTCTTACATTCATCTTTGGCCCCTCGGTTTTCAAGTGAAATAAATAAAATAAAAGATAACGCTTTACGTAATGAAATGTTTAGTCTCTGATTTGTATGATTTTTATTTGTTGGTATTGCCATTTTTTGGCGAGCAGTATATTTGCCGATGGGCTATTCACTTGGAAATCGGTGAAAATGATTTCCTTCTTTGAGAACCGATTGCCATTGATTTCATATGATAAGCAACAATGCGATTCGGTAACAAGTGACGTTCGGCCTTATAATGTCGGCAGTATTTCAATGATTTCCAACGATTTCCAGCTGATTTCTACGGGATTTTGAGCATTCAAATCCGCAATATCCTGAGTGAATACCCCCCATGTTTGCTCGTTATACAGGATACAACAGTAAATACTTCATAGTACGACGGATTGGCATACCGCATGAGCTCGTAAATCGTTGATCACATACTCACGAGTATCTATCTGCCGCCTTTTGAGAAACATGCGAAATATTAACCATTACACCCTGTATATAAATTTTCAATTTAGACTCCCTTAATTCTACGTGTTAATTTACTCGAACGTGACTCGCCGACGTACCAGGATGATACTTAAGTGAAATTCGTTCACCCAGTCCTACTTCCTTCCCAGTACTATGGACGCATTATCAATTTATTAATACTACGTTTAATTAAAATCTCTGGTTCGTCGCGGCTAGGAGAGGTCCTTTGTTAAGAGATTATCGCTCCTCCTCGTCATCCGGTAGATCGTCCTCGTCAATACGCGAAGTACTCCACCAGGAATGATCCGTCTCGGCTCCATGTATCGACATTAATCGCGGCAGGAATTATTCTCATTTAAACTCTATCTTCTCCCTCTTGTGGTGAAACGAGTTCCGCAATTTTCTCCTCGGTGCTTGACACGTGCTTACTCGGATGCACCAGGAGACCCTTGCATTATGCGAATGGCGTCTCTCCGGGCTCCCTCTCGCCGTATGTCGAAGTCCTCCGCTCGGCGATATCAAGAGACTCGGAGTCCTCGGGAAGGACTTCACTTTCTTCATCCGTAATGCAATCCCAAGGAGAGGAAAACTTAAAACCGGAGAGAAACTCCGGGGAGTACGTTTCCATTCCATTACGGGGATCCGTCGGCGCTGCATCGCCGCGCTCCAATTGTCACCTGCATTAAGCCGCGAACGTCGCCGATTCTTGCACCAGAGAAGAGACGGACAGAGAGGAGAGGAAAGAGGGAGGGCGAGAGAAAGAGGATTCTAAAATATTGAAGTGCCTCTCTTTCGTCTCGTTTCATCTCCTTTCGTCTCGGTTTACCCCTCCCGTCGCTGTTGCTACCCCGCGGTTAAATCTCCGTCATTGCGGCGATTTTGCGAGCGGATGAAACCCATCGCTACCGCGGACGCGAAAGAAAACGTCTGGTTAGCGGAAATTTCCGTGCAATTAGTCTAACGGGGATGGCGCGTTACGTTTGATGTGCGCCTGGGTTTATTGGGCTAACGGGCGGGGGAAACGTAACGAAATAATTTCCGCTTTAATTCTTTGAGGCGACGCTTTCGCGCCAAGTACATTTCTCGCGGGCGCGTTTGAACGAACGGTTCAAGTAGAACAAATGACCGGAAATTAACTTTTCCTTGTGCGCTAATACCGGACATTTGCTAAATCGGTCTGCTGGAGTCATCGGGAATAAGTGGCAAATAATTATCCGCTACTTTGAGGCGACAAGACCGAGGGGTGAATCGTCACGCATTGGTCGTGGATGCGAACGTATGCGGAACGCGCAATTTCGGAAATAAGAGGTTTCCGCGGAGCTGGGCGACGTAACGAATAAACGCAATCAGAAGTTAGCCGGGTTAGCCGCAGCGGCGGGCCGCGACTTTGGACCTCTTTGGTGAAAAACTGATCCAAAGCACGCGGCGGAACGGCGGGCAGGGCGGAGACGGCGGGAAGTATGGCGGAAAACATGCGGAGCGGGTAAATGAAATTTGTTTAATAATTTACGAGTGGCGCCGCGCCGGAACGGAAGAGCGAGGCCACGCGAGGCGCGAAGGCCACGGGGACGAGAAAGAGGGCGCGGCGGGAGGACTGGTCGCTGGGATCGTTAAGTTTGAGTTAGAGGACAATAAATATTCATTAATGGGTGAAACGGTGTCATAGCTCCGTACGCGCCGGCCGGGACGAAGCGGCCGTTCCGCCCGGTCCCCGGACGGATCGTGTGTGCGGCTTTAAAGCTATCGCAATTATCGTTATCGATAGACCACGGCCGGATGCGAGGGGGCGCGAGACCCTTTCTCTCCGGCCGCCACCCACCGCCACCCACCGCCACCCACCGCCACCCACCGCCACCCACTTTTCCACCCGCTGGAGGTGACCGCGTTATGTACGGACGATACGGCCGGGCCGGCGACGCCAGCGCCATTAGCGGTGCAGGTGCGCGGAATTACTTTGCAACCGCGGCTTGTCGGCTCGCGAAATCCTTCCGCTTCCGGAATCGCTTCCGACTCGGTGGAGTCCACCTTATTCGGCTCGCATTCGGAATCCCGCTCGAGTTCCTATCCGAATTTATGGGGCGAACGCAAGTCGGTACGAATCCGACAACGACTGGTTTTGATTGTTCTTATCGCTTCTGAGGCGACAGCTCTCTAATGGCACGGTAGTACCCACTAATGACGCGTCGAACGTTAGTTGTACGGAGGAAGTAGTTTAAGCGATTATGATGTCACGAATCCCGTCTTGGGCGCAGCAAATCGAATTAGATCCTTTTCTTGGAGGGTATTGCCCCAGATTACCCGAAACTTTGGCACGTCGATCGCGAACACCTAATGAATGTCCTGACACTTCGGAAATTTGATTTTTCAAAGAAAATTCGTTTTTTATTTAGCCAATGCCGGGACAAAAATGGCGACTAGAAAGATTAGTGCACCGATATTGTATGATCTTATCGGAAGCTTAATATCGAAATCTCTTGTCACGTGCTATTCGGTGCATACGAGAAATGTACTTTAAAAGGATTCACTAGTACTCGGTTTCTTACAGAGGGCGCGTCGATTTAATCGCCCCAAAGCATCCGTAATTGTATTCTTCCCACCGTGTTGCGTGCTTCACGGGGAACGGAAGAAAGCGCGCGCGATTATATCCGCAATTGACATCGGAGTTATTGTTCCGTTGTTCCAACGGCGGAGAACGAGCTGGTTATATTAGATGCTTAACTTGCACCCGTTGTCGTTGCGCCCAGAACGGAAAAATTGGCTCCTCGTAGGTTGATTCTATTTTGCCGAGCTTAACGGGAAGAACTGACTGTAAGGCCACTACAGGGGGGCTCGTTAAACGCGAAACCGAGGAGGGGTATAGAAAAAGAGGAACAGAAGCCACGAAAGCGGTCTCGCATCGGAAACGATCTTTCATTATTCGCCCCCGCGACCGCGAAGAGTCATATGCGCGGCATTTGCAATGCGAATGAATGGACTCGGTACCCGGGGGCTGCAATAACTCGGAGATTAAAAGAGAATTAAAAAGTATACCGAATGTGCGTATCCGTGTCAAGCGTACGAGCGAGTCGGATGGCAATCGTTAGGGCCGGATGTGCCTGCATATTGCGAGGAGCCATCCGAGATCTAG